GCATGGTGTATAGTAAGAGTCATGCTCTCAGAAGACTACACCTATCAAAACTATAGTAGAAAAACAAAGATCATCATTTGGGATGAATAATTTATTTCGGGTACTTAACTATATCCCAAAGAGCTCATACTTGGTATGTAAGTAATATTATGGATTAGCTTCCATGTCCCATGAGTTTCATCAATTTTGCATTTTTAAAATGCATGTTACATGCAAAACAACACAGGGGGGTAGACTGGAATTTCCAGCACATACGCTAGCTATTAGAACTAGGTTTAGGCCTACCAAACGTTATTCAAATTAATTCAAACTCCTATCAACAGAAATACAATTGAGTCTAGTTTTAGAAATAGAAAGAATTTCATGCATGCATGGTATATGTTGAGATATATGCTCTTTACAAAGGACATGACTCAAGCAGACAGTTTCAGACACATGCACTGAGTTAAACCATACTTTTAAACTAGTAAATGATCTTAGAATTAAACAAACAAGATCTCAAATGAAAGCCACGAATATGTAGTTTCTAGAACAGAAAGAATTTCATGCATGCATGGTATATGTTGAGATATATACTCTTTACAAAGGACATGACTCAAGCAGACAGTTTCAGACATATGCACTGAGAGTTTTACCTAGGGTTTTGACTTTGCCCCACTTCCTTCACCAAAGTCCTCAACTACCTTCTTTCTCCACTCCTTCTTCTTCAATGTTCTTGAGAGATGAAGGCTTTTGGAAATTTCTCTTTTTTTTAAAGAGGAGAGGTGCTGGAGACGTTCAGAGGAGAGGGAGGAGGTTTTTAAGAGATTTTTCTTCTTAAATGGCAAAGTGAGAGGTGGAGGGCACATATATATAAGCCCATGTGAAGAGAAATCCTCAATTTGGCCAAAGTTGAGGGGTTTTATGCAAAATTTCCCCCACTAACATGGCTGAACAAATATAATAACTATGTTAATTAGAGAGTTTCACATTAGGTATTTAATGATTTGGTTATCTCTAATCAAGGTTTAAAGCATGGTTAACTTAGGTTTACATGCTAAGTTTGTATGCATGCTATGACTTAGTTAACTAGATCACAATATGAGAATTAGCTAAGTTAAATTCTCATACTAGAAGATTATATGAGATGCAATAAAGAAAAGAATCTACTAATTTATGGATTGGTGTCGGTAACGGTATCCGATCAATGAAAGGGAAAAAATTTGGAATGTTACATACTCCCCCCCTTAAGGAAATTTCGTCCCCGAAATTTTTACGTACCCTTAAAATAAATGTGGATATGTTTTTCGCATCTCAGGTTCTAGTTCCCATGTTGCCTCCTCAACGCCTCGATTATTCCATAAAACTTTAACCAGCAATATGGATTTGTTTCTCAGCTGCTTCTCCTTAAAGCCTAGCACTCGAACCGGTCGTTCTTCATAAGATAGATCCTCCCGCAGGGGCAAGGCTTGGTGCGAAATGATGTGTCTGGGGTCTGGTACGTACTTTTTCAGGTTTGAGACGTGGAACACGTTATGAATCTTCTCCAATTCTGGGGGCAAGGCTAGCCGGTAGGCTACAGGTCCGATCTTCTCCAAAACTTCGAATGGCCCAAGGTATCTCGGACGGAGTTTGCATTTATTGCCACCTCTTGTTATTCCTTTCATTGGTGTAGCCTTTAGAAACACATGATCACCAACCTGGAATTCTAGGTCCTTGAGTCGACGATCTGCATAGCTCTTTTGCCTACTTTAGGCCGTCTGCATATGTTGCCGAATAGTTTGGATCTTCTCAGTCGTCTCCTGGATTACGTCTGGTCCAAGTAGTCGACGATCACCAGTCTCTTCCTAACAGATAGGGGATCTACATCGCCTCCCATATAGGGCTTCATAAGGTGCCATGCCAATGCTAGAATGAAAGCTATTATTGTAGGCGAACTCTATTAGTGGCAAATGCGTAGCCCAATTGCCTCCAAAATCTAAGGTACAAGCTCTCAGCATGTCCTCCAGGGTCTGTATCGTTCTCTCAGATTGTCCATCAGTTTGAGGATGTGCTGAAGTGTCGAACTTCAGTTTCGTCCCCAAAGCTTTATGTAGGCTCTTCCAAAATCTTGAGGTGAAACGGGGGTCTCGATCTGATACAATGGATATGGGAATCCCGTGGAGCTTCACGATCTCTTCAATGTATAAGCTGGTCAACTTTTCCATGGTATACGACATCTTGTAGGGTATGAAGTGCGCTGACTTGGTCAGGCGGTCAACTACCACCCATATGGCATCCTCTCCTTTTGTTGATCGGGGTAGTCCAGTAACAAAATCCATGGTGATGTGATCCCATTTCCATTCTGGAATGGGCAAAGGTTGTAATAGTCCTGATGGTTTCTGATGTTCAATCTTCACCTGTTGGCATGTTAAACATTTTGATACAAATTCAGCTATCTCCTCCTTCATGCGGTTCCACCAGAAGTTTTGTCGGAGGTTCTGATACATCTTGGTGCTACCCGGATGAAGAGCATATAGGGTCTGGTGAGCTTCTCTCAATATCTGATCCTTAAGCTCCCCATCATTGGGTACACAAAGGCGATTACCCATCTTCAAAACACCATCTTGAATCTTAAAGTCTGAATATTTTCCTTGTTCCACCTTCTTCCTTATCTCACATAGCTCCTTGTCTTCCTTCTGTCGCTCCTTGATTTGGTCCAACAGAGTAGGTTGTAGGCTTATCTGACAAATCTTCATTCCAGAAGAATACTTTCTAACTTCAATCTCCATTCTCTCAAGCTCCTTACTTAACTCGGCTTGTTTAGTTAGCAAACAAGCTGATGCAATATGATTCTTCCGACTGAGAGCATCTGCTACTACATTCGCTTTACCTGGATGGTAAAGAATATTTACATCGTAGTCTTTCAGCAATTCCAACCACCTTCTTTGCCTCATGTTAATCTCCTTCTGAGTAAATATATACTTTAGGCTCTTGTGATCTGTATAAATATCACATGATACCCCATATAGATAGTGTCTCCATATCTTCAGGGCAAAAATCACAGCAGCCAATTCCAGATCATGAGTGGGGTAATTCTTCTCATGAGGTCTCAATTGCCTGGAGGCATAAGCCACTACCTTCTCATTTTGCATTAGAACACAACCTAAACCTCTGGAAGATGCATCACTATATATCACAAACTTATCTGAACTCGTAGGGATAGTGAGGATGGGAGCAGTTACCAACCGTTTCTTCAACTCCTGAAAATGCTCTTCGCATTTCTCACTCCAATTATACTTGACATTCTTACGAGTCAAATAAGTTAAAGGGGCTGCTAATTGGGAAAAGTCTTTAACAAATCTTCTATAATATCCTGCTAGTCCCAAAAAGCTACGAATCTCAGTCACTGAGGTGGGACGCGGCCAGTTCACGACAGCTTCAACCTTCGCTGGATCCACGGATATCCCATCTCTTGTGATCACATGGCCTAAAAACATCACCTTTTCTAGCCAAAATTCACACTTCTTAAACTTTGTGTATAGCTGTTGCTCTCTTAGGACTTGCAATACAATCTTCAAATGTTCTTCATGTTCTTGGTAACTCTTAGAATAGATCAATATGTCATTAATGAAAACTACCACAAATTGATCCAAATATTGTTTGAATATCCGATTCATCAGATCCATGAATGCGTCCGGCGCATTAGTCAGTCCAAAAGGCATCACTAAAAATTCATAGTGACTGTAGCGAGTCCTGAACGCTGTTTTTGCTACGTCCTCAGGCTTAATCTTTAACTGATGGTACCCTGACCTTAAATCAATTTTGGAAATACTTGAGCTTCTTGCTTGAAGTCTGAATCAAATAGATGCATCTTATCCTTGGGAGTGGATACTTATTCTGAATGGTTCAATTTATTCAACTCTCTGTAATCTTATACAGAGTCTCTCATACTCACATCTTTCTTTTTCACAAATAAGACTGGTGCCTCCCCATGGAGACACGTTGGGTCTAAAGAATCCTTAATCCAATATCTCTTTGAATTTGTTCCTTGTTCCTTCATCGTCAACTGCCGCTAATCTATAAGGGGCTTTAGAGTATAGGAGTGGTCCTGCGGACCACAGTCTTAATATGGCAAACTCTATCTCCCAGATCTGGCGATGGCCATCCTTGCAGCAAATCTTCTTGGGAAAGACATCCGGTTAATCTCTTGACAACTAAGTATATTGAAAAGTTTTTCTCATTCAATTGTGTAGTCCACTTTCACACTGCAAGAAATATCCACTACAACATTGCATCAACAATTTATTAGCTTCATAAATGCAGATTAGCTCTGTGCAGTGAGTGGTCTTCACTTTCCCCTTGAAAACAAAACTCGCCTCCGTGCTTGCTTGTGGTTTTAAACTTTATCAGTTTTCTCAAACAGTTCTATAGTTGCATGATGGGATGCTTAACCAATCCATTCCTGAGGATGAACATCAAAACTTCTGACATGTCTAGGCATACAAAGGTCTGCATTCATTGACATGATCACTCCATAAACTCACAATTTCATAAACATATTGTTGCTAGGAAGACTACCACCATAGGTGTGGACACAAATTATCTCACTATTAAAATAGTCGTCAGTGAATTGGGAAAATTCCTAGCAAAGTGGAGGTGATACAAAAGATGTGTGTGAGATCCGAGGGATCGAAAGTGCATGAGCGACCGTGAATGAACATTACTGGAAACTGTACCTTCCCACCACAGATTGGTGTATGCATTGCTGCATTCCTTTCCTTGTCAAGTTGGTCAAATACTCTTCCTTGGTTCCTTTGGTTCTGCTGCGACACTTTTGGTTTGCGGAATCTGGAGCCTTCCGCTGCGGGACATTTGATATGCGTGTTGAGGCATTAGCTTCGAGATCCCGCCGTGATCTCCTGCTTTAGTGCTCGCTCTGTTATTTGCTCTTGATTCCTCAAGGTTGTTGGACAATCTCTCTTTGAGAGTGCCCAGGGTTGACCACACTCGAAACCATGCCACGCTCCGTGAGTTTGCAATCATCCAGAGTGATGATTGCCACATCTAGGGCAGGCTGCTGACTTATTTGGCTGATTTGCTCGATCACAACGAAAGGGAAATTTTGCTGTCGCTGACCTCCCGGGCTGATTCGATGATGACTTATCGTTTGTGGGACCTCCTTCTGTTCGTGGGCGTTTAACTAAACTCTGCTTCTTATTGCGGATCTCCTGATACTCTAGCAGGTCTTTCTCAATTTCAAACGCAGTCTCCACCAGTTCTGTGTAGTTCCTGATTCTGAGGGCCACTAGTTTCCCTCTGATATTTTCCCTGAGTCCCCTTTGAAACTTCTTAGCCTTATCTGATTCTTCAGCGATCAAATGTGGAGCAAACCTTGATAGTTGAGTAAACTTAGCCTCATACTCTTGGACCGTCATGTTATTTTGTTGCAAACCTTGAAATTCAATAGCCCACTGATCCCTAACACTTTCCGGGATATATTTCTTATTCATAAGCTCCACAAATCTATCCCAATCAATCTGTCTCTGGGCAGCCCTTTCTAATCTTAAGGTTGCCCTCCACCAATGTTCAGCTTCCCCTCTGAACATAAAGGTGGCAAATGACACCTTTTGCTCCTCTGCACAATTTAACACTATAAAAATCTTCCCCATTTGTAAAATCCAATCCTCCGCCACCAAAGGGTCGGTGGTACCCGAAAAAGATGGAGGTGTGAGCTTCCGAAACTGTTCTAGGGCTGAGATAGCAGGTGTTGGTTGGTTGCCTCTAGGATTGATACGCTGCTCGAGGATCTCTGCTAATCGTTCCAATGGGTCTTGCATTGGTTCGTTTGCTGGCATTCCTTCTCATTCCGATAGGAACAGAAGATCCTTCTTCAATATTCTCCAGGTGATGTCCTTCCTCATTTTGGGTCTGATTTGCTCTTGTTCTCACCATTGTCTATATGAAAATGTAGCAGCAAAAGTTCAGATCCCACAGACTATTCAAAGTACTTCACTCAGAAATATTTCATTGCTCGCATAATATATATATATATAAGGAACTTCAACAATCTACTTAGAGTACTGATTTCTCCAAAAGCTTTTCATTGATATAATATTAACATACACCTATTCATCCATAC